ACTCCTGACCTTGAAAGCAATTTACCATCCTGCCATGTTTCCTGTGATAAGAATAAATCATACAGTTGTCCTTTTAAAGATTTATTGTTTGGACCAATTAATGACACTGAATACATTTTTAAATCATAGAGTCACTTCAGTTTTGTTTCTTGTGCCTTAATCCAAAATAAGTAATGTTTTAACGACCAGAACACAATTAAGGGGACATTAATTAGGCAAATTAAAAACCTGAGAGAGCATCAGACTGAACCATCCTGAAGCTACAGCAAGTAACATTAACAGGCAGAAACATTCGCTGTCTACCTAGTTCAGTTATGAAATGTAGTTATTTTGTGGGAGAGACATTTCTACAATTTAGACTCAAAGCTTAATAGTAGATTCTACTTTGTATTTGTTTTTCAACAGAGCTCTTGTTTTAGCTTGTTGGATTGCATTTCTTTCAAATTGGAATGGGGTGTACTTCAACAGTGTTTGCACTAAATTACTAAGAAAACAAAATCATAAAAAATTTAAATTCCATAACAAAGGGAATCAGTCATCATAGGATTCAAGTAAAGCATTCATCAACCCCGAAAAATAAAAAAACAAAGGAAATGTGCAATGAAAGGAATTGTTTCAATCATAGTCACATAGAAGCTGTTCGGTATTTATGCCTTTGGCAAATTTTGACTCCACTGAACAACATAAAAGTGACTCCTGCTATTGTCTAGAGCAAATACAATGACTGTGTGAATGTAAGCTGAGCCCCCTCTGTCAAATGTACATCTTATTACTCAGAATTTCAATATTTGTGTTTCATATATTTCTAATATCGAATGTACATGTGTGATTTTGAGACCTGAAGATGAGTTACCGCTCTGGATAGAAGATATGTAAAGAAAGCAAAACATCCAACCTGATCTGTATTTGGAGAGATGCCTCGGTTCCCTCAAAACTCCAAAGCACATGACAAATGTGCTCAATATCAGTTGTAATTGTGATGATGAGTTTTTAGAGTTTTTTACTGGTTTTTTTCGGTTTTAGTAAGGGTTAAAATAATAGACACAGTATCACAAATCTACCAAACTTATCAGATACAGACATTTTAACAAATCATTAAGGCCTGCAATTTTACTCTGAAGACAGCTTCTAGATGATTTACCAGACCACAATCTAAGCAAATGATGTAAAGTGCATTTTAAGGTGTCCAAATCAAACTTTGCGAGTTTCATGGAGGAAAAAATGGGTGCAGCAAGACATGTACGTCGTTTCTTAATTAATCATAGATGGGTTTTGAGTGTAATTTGTAATATATCATAATGTCATCGCACATTCCCTTTAAAAGCCAGGTTCGTTTGCACCTTGACAGTGCTATTCTAAGGGCAGATTTGCCAGGTAGTAAAATAGTACGCTTCCCTGAAGAGGAAATGGATCTGGTCATGTGCAAAGTTAAAAGGCACAAGGAGGGCATCTGTGTGTGTAAAAAGCAGACAGTAGGTGCAATAGTAATATGCACCTGCATATTACTATCTTGATAATGTGCCAGTGAAATACTGCACCACTGACTTTAGACTGAGAGTTTGTTGGCCAACAGTGCAATCATTATACACTGCCTCAAGACAGCTGACAGTTCCCCAGACCCCAACTCATTTTGAGACCAACCAAGGGAAGTGAGAGGTGCATCAGCTATTCAAACAACATGGACGCTGGGTGGATAAAATGTCAACTGTGACTGTCTGAAACTGGCAAAACATTTGGATTGCACTTTGTGTTTCTTTGTGAAAGGTTTAAGATACGTGTGGGTTGTGTTTCTTGGCAGCAAACAGCCGATACAACAAAAAACAGACTAGCTGATAAATGAAGCTGATAACATGCATTATGTTTCATATAATTTTCTTCCTTATGAAAGCCTAGCTCCACTGTTTAACTATCTTCTAAACTTTTGCTCTGAAAACACCTTAATAGCATCTATTTTTCTAATTTTACCTTTCAATGTGAGCTAATATCAGCACGGCTTGAGTGACTTTACCTGGCTCTGGAGTGCTTGTTGTTGATACAGGTTCAGCCTGACCTTGGTGTGTTCGTCTGTGGTGGGGCTGAGGGGCTTAGGGTCTGACATGGACCTTTGGGTGCTCTTGATGGGTCGGGGCACAGATGGGTGGCGCTGGGGAGATTCGGCTGTGTAGGACTTCTGCTGTGGTGTGACATGGGCCTTGTTCAGCCGCTCACTGGAGAGAGAAGTCTCCAGCAGGCGGTGAGGGGACACCGGGGACACAGGAGAGTAGAGGACTTGTGGAGATTTGGGGGCTGTCTGCTGCTGCCGGATGATGCTGGAGATGGATTCGTTGTGGAGGTGGTTGTGAGGCTGGTAGTTGATGTCAAGTGGGTCAGGGCGACGTCGCTCAAACTTGGCTGCGTTTGCTGCAATGTGCTGCTGCTGGCGCTGCTGGGTCAGAAGGTCCACAGAACTGGATTGTTGTGTTCCTGTACTGGTAGAGGAAGAATATGGACTGACTGTGGTTGGTACACTGAGCTGTGGAGCTACAACACCTTGGGACTGGGCTTCTGGGTCAGTTTGGCATGCTAGAGACTGTCCTTTTTGGGTTCGCTCAGGTCCAGAGATGTAGTGCACAATCTCTACTTTATTTGGGTCTGGTACTGTCACATGGATCGCTGGGGAGACTCTCCCTAGGTGCTCCACTTCTGTCTGGCAAGACATTTCCCTGATGGTCTGGACAGCGATGCTAGAGGACACCATCTTGGGTGTGTCGGTTGTACTGGATGTGCTGTTTGAGGCAGCAGTGCTACTGCCAGCAGCATTGGACTCTGAGTGCCGGGAGAAACGGGAACGTCTTCGGCGGACCGGGTGTTCCGTCTCAGCTTTATCCTCGTCATCGTCTGTCTGGACGGAGCAGTCAACACTGCGACCGCGCCTCCTGGTGCGATGACGCATCATGTACCTAGTAATGGAGAGAAGAGAAGAGGATAAAAAGTATAAATTAAGCAATTATGCCACATAGTGCTGCTTAAACTTTTCACAGACAAATTATATACTAAGTAGAAATATTTATTTAGGTATTTGCTAATACTGAACACTGTAGGTATAAATTGCAATCACCTAAAATAAAAACATAATGAGTAATTGCATGTTATCATAACAATAATACCCACACACGTTCACTTACACACACACCCATTCACTTATATGCTGGAAACACTCTCTCACTACCCTCAATAGTACACACATCTTTACCTCTCCTCTCCATCCTCATCATCTGTCTGCACACAGCTGTCCACAATCCTGCGGGGGGAGCCATAGAAGACCACGCCATCACCATCCAGGCTGTCCCTGCTCAGCCTGGTCATGGAGCTGTGCTTCCTCATGTTACTCCTGGTCTCCATGTGCTCCTCCTGGCTCCTCAGACACATCTCTGATGAGGAGTTGGGGAGGGACCGGGAGCCTATCTGAGAGTCATTGTAGGGGTGCAGGGGCTGTCCATTTACGTCCAGCTTTAGAAAAAAAGGGGGGTAGTTTTAAGGTTGTCAGGTGTTTTCACCCACTCAACCTTTACAGATTCATTTGAGACTGAAAAGCTATGATTGCACCTTATATCACCCAACCATTTAATACATTTTAGTACCAACATAAAACAACAGTGCAGACAAATATCATATCAATAAAAAGCCAATTTAGTTAATGGTCCAATATTATAAAGTGAGATCTCCATGTCTTATTTAGGTTTAAAGCAGGTCGACATAGACATAAATTATGAACGTATATTAATATACCTGTGGCCTATTTAGAGTCAAACTGCAGTTCAGTCAATAGCTGAAAAAGGTTTTGAGGAGGTACACAAATAATTATTTTGTGCATTCAATTTGATAGATTAGGCATGAATGATTTTACAGGCACCAAATTTTATTTGCTAGCTCATTCATGAGTTTTCAGAATATGTGCTGGTGATCTAACGAACACACCGACTGACATTGGTTTTGCTTTAGATAGTATGCTGCTGAAAAAGTGTCACAAAGGAAAATTCTACCATGATAAAGGCATGCGAAGGGGTCACACGGGTGTAGGTACAGAAGGTGTAGTGGAGGCAAATAGCATTACTGTGAGCTCCTTGTAGCATCTACTGTATTTTCACACTTCCTGTACCCTAACATTATGTGCCGCTGCTGCCTGAGAGCTGAACGCTTCAACATCAATGCTAAAGGACGTAACAGTACTTAGTGTAAAAGCCAGTCTTTTACTCTGCTCACCTGTATGCCCTGAGCTACAGCAGCAGTTTTCTGTCTCTTTTGCTCTTCGAGCTGTTGCTGGAGCTGATGTTGTAATGACTGAATCTGGTCAAGCTGGGACTTCTGCTGAGCCAGCTGCACTCTTTGGAGAACAAGTTGTTTCTCACGTTCTTGTTGCTGCTGCTGCAGAACCTAAAGAAGTGTTGGAGGAAAGAGGAAAAGGAAGAAGCATACATGGGCAAAAACAGAGAGCGAAAGCGCAAGACAGAAGAGCATGGAGAAGAATGGTACAAGAGAGGATTGAGAAGTAACCAGCAAGAGAGGAGAAGATCAAGAAAGAAGAAAGAAATGATGAGGAAAAAAAGAAAGAAATAGAGAGACAGTGAAGACAAAGTTGTTGACCTGTGGACATCTGGTTGGATGCAAGATGATCAGATTTCAAAAATGCAAACTCAATTGCAAGACTCCTGAAACTGAATGTGACATGAAGTTATCCTTCTTCTGATGGATTAGTTTTGAAAATGGTTCCAAGTTAGTTGAAGTCTTATATATTGCAAAAATCAAGAATGGAAGCGCAACATAATATGAAGAGCAGCATGTACCGGTAATTGCGGTTGCCAGTCATATAATGCTCATTCAAAAATATTGAATGCATTTTCTGTGTTGCTTAAATGACAGGCTGGTGCAAGTAAGGAGGTAGGGGGGTTTGGCCTATACTGTTATGAGATGCACATTAGACATTCCATCTCTAGTTCATTCTCATTAAGAAAGGCTTCCACACCTGTTTAACAGAGTTAACTTGAAAGATTTTCAACTGCTTGTTCTATCAAAAAAGAAGACAATTGTCATGTTAGCCCTTCTGTCATCTGTTACAACGTCTGCATGAATCTATTAGGAGCTCAGTTTAGCATTAAATTAAAATCTTAACTTAATATAGATTAAGTGTTTACAACATAGTGTGATCAATTTTCTTTTTGCAAATAAATCATACCAACAAATGTAACATGAAACCACTTTACAAACTAAATCTGAGCATCATGAGTTTCTATCACACATAAATACTACAGGCATGTTCATGCACACTTTTATAACAGGAAACGTCCATTGAAATACACAACATAGCATGCAAATAGTAGAATTATACTTGTAATGCAGGCTGGATGCAAATGTATTAAAACCAAAAAGTCATTAGCATTTTCTCTCATGACATAATCCTCTAAGGAGATATTCAATAGTTTAACTGGCAAAAAGCCTCCAATAAAACTGTTACACTTCCTTACATGTATTTTTTTGAGGAACTGCTTGTAGACATGCATTGAAAGACGTGCATATATTATATACTGTACAAAGCATTTGTTTTCAAGTATGTACTGGAACAATAAACAAAGCAATTTTAATTTACATAAAATGATGAAAAACTAAATACAAGACAAGTAATACTACGACATTAACAGAAAAACAGTGCCACATGTAACAATGCAAAATAAAACAACCACAAAACAACAAGACACCAACTTCAAACTTTTGATTTGGCCTGTTTCTCCCTCTACCTGTTCCTTGATGGACTGCAGATCCTGTAACTCTCTCTGCACCAGCATCTGCTCCTTCTCCCTGTGCAGCTTTAGCTCAATCCTTTCCCGTTCCAGCTCCTCCTGCAAGCGCAGTTGCCGGAGTTTCTCCAGCTCTACGCGCTCCCTCTCCATCTGCAGGAGCTGCTCCTGCTGCCTATGCAGCCTCTCTGCCTCTGTTTCACCCTCCTTATGTATGGCACCTGGTGGAGGAAAGGGAGGAAGACCCCCTGGAATTGGTAAACCACCAGAAGGGGCAGAGGGGCCTACTGGAGGTTGAGTGTAGCCGTTGGTGTGTGAAGGACCTGAGGGAGGATAGGCATGGGCTGCTGGAGGAGGAGGTTGCTGCTGCTGAGCAGTTGTTACTTGTTGTTGTTGTTGTTGTTGTTGTTGTTGTTGTTGCTGCTGCTGCTGCTGTTGTTGTTGTTGTTGTTGTTGTTGTTGCTGCTGCTGACTGTTTAGGTGTGCCTGTGACAGGTTCATTGGCTGCTGCTGCTGCTGCTGTGGTTGTGTTGGTATTACAACTGTTCCTCCTATTGAAGTGATTTCTGCTGATGAAGAGGTCACTGTTGCACCTTTACCAAGGTAAACTGGTTCATCCTGGACTGTAGAGCTACTAATTGTCATAGAAACAGACACTGGGGCACCTACTGGTGCTGAGGTTGTTGCAGCAGCATCAGTAGTGGCAGTGGCTGATGTTGTTTGGAGAAGACCTGGTGCTGGGTAACGGACTAGAGCTTGTCCAGATACAGGAATTCTTGGGCTCATAGGGAGTCTGCTAAGACTAGATAGGGGCACAGGTGTCATATTGGCAGAGGGGTATGGCCTGTAGACCCCGCGCAGAAGTGGGTGAAGAACAGATGCAGGTTGGGTTGTAATTGGAAGTGTAGAAGCAATGGGGGTTTGAATGGTGGAGTAGATCATACCGTCAGAAGACCTAATAGCAGCAGGGTACATGGCTCTGAGACTGGCCTGCCTGGCATTGATAAGGTTGGTTAGTGCTTGACTGTGGGATATTGGCTTTCCATCAAGTCCAAATAGCAGATTTTGTCTCAAGCCAAGACCTGCTACAAGTCTGGAGGACCCAGGCCCAGTTCCTCTACCCAAAGTGCCAAACTGCATCAAGTCTGGGTTGCTTCCATACCGATCAATGGAATTGAGTGCTGCACACATCCGGCTAATCTCCCTGGCAGTGGTAGCACTGTACTGAGCCAAGTTTGCTTCTTGGAAGTTAGCAATGTCACGAGCAGAGTAACCATAGTCTGAACTAATGTTAGACAATGAGTTATATCTCCTTATAGGCAGTGTTTGGGCTGTTATGTCTCCTCCATGACGTAAATCTGTGTAGGAGCCATACTGCATCCCTATATACCCTCCATAACCGTGTTTCATGGCAGTTAAATCCATGGCAAGTTCTCCTGTGCTTTGGAGCTGTGGGTCTAGTTTGGGGTGGTAAGACTGTAGCCCAGCTTCAGCTAGATTTGTATCAGACATTGAAGGCTGGAGCTTACCAGGGAAAGGTAATGTGTAAGCTTTACGTCCATCCATTGGATACTCATCATACCTTACAGGTTGTCTTTCTTGGTCAGACTCATAGGTGAGAGGTGGGGCAGATGGAGGCCTTATGCCCTCTTTCTCAGAAACACCAACACAGCTTCCACCAAATGGAAGTCGGTAAACAACATCACAGCAAGCTGGTTGGTTGTCAGGTTTAATTTGGCCACCAGTCTGCTCCAGCGCATCCTGTCCTTCTTCTATTTGCACTAGCTGAGTTACTGCCCTGACCTGCTCTGGTCCTCCATCCATCTGAACTACCATGCTATGTGGTGATTTACCACCTGACATCATACCAGGAGGACTGGGCTTCCCTTTCAGCTCAATGGGACCAGTGCCATACAGTTCAGGATTAATGGCTGGTGATACAGCACTGACCACAGCTGAGGTTGTGCTTGTCTGGCTGACTAGTATGTCTTTTTTAAGCAATGGTGAGATCTGGCCAGTAATGTTGTACCTGGCTAAAGCCGATGCTTGTTGCTGCTGCTGTTGCATCTGATGGTGCTGATGCAACTGCTGCTCAAGGAGCTCTTGTTGCTTCTGGAGCTTCTCTTGTTGTAGTTGTAGCTCTCTCTGTTGGATACTGAGGTCTTCCAGTTTAGCATCAATTTTTGGTATTGATGGGTCAGTTGGAGGTGAAATTTGTGGTTTGCTCTGTGAAAGACACACAGCTGGACCCATGCCCTGGCCCAGATCCACTCGATTTTGATGTGGGTCACCATAGACTGCTGGCTGTTTAGGCTGGATCATGAACATTGAAGCAGCCACAGTGACACTCACAGTGGTTGGTGTGGTGGTCTCCTGGGTGTTCAGGTTCATTATCAGGGGCTGGACAATTGATGAATGTCTGCTACCCTCTGATCCACCATGGTATTTCCTGCATTCAGTGGCTAATGAGGTAAGATCCATTCCTTGGTCAGTCATGATAATAGGGGCCGGTTTGGTGGCTGTTCTGAGGTCCACAACACTTCCACCTTGTATCATATGGCCCTGCTCTACTCTAGAAGTGCCGGGGACAGTAGATATTCGACAGAGAGAGATGTTATCCATTGACACTGATCCTCTGGTGTAAGTGCTGGTTGTGGTGACCATACTTGTTCCCACATTTACCTTCTCCACTCTTTGTGTTCGGTAGAAGCTGCGTGTGGGAGACTGTTGGTAAGGTGGCGTGTCTGGGGGGCTGCCAGATGGGGAGTAAGTGTCAAATGTTGATTGGCGGCTAAATCGAGTGGGTGAAGACAGAGGAGAAGTAGCAGTGTTGACTGTCATTGGTCTAGCAGGGCTTGGAGGTGGGGAATATGGGGCATCTTGGGAAGACTGCTGTCGATACAGCCGTGGTGAAACTGATCGATGTGATGTTTGGGTGCCCTGAGCCATCACTGGAGATGTTGGCCCAGATCCAGCTGAATCCATTCGCATTTCTGAACTGAATGTCTGTGTGGAAAACTCAGCTGTAGCTCTTCTGGAAGGTGACCGAGTGGGACTCTGTGTTGGTGGTGAGGGAGACAGAGGGGGACTGGTGCTTCTGTAATAAGTTGTATACTTGGGAGATCGTGGTTCAATAATTCTCTCAGTGGAGGATGTTGAGCTGTCTCGCACCTGGACACCCCTTGTCTCCCCTACCCTCCTTGTGATCACCTCTCTTTGACTGTAGGCTTGGGTAATCTCTGCAATTTTGCTGCATACGCTTGAAACTGTAGCTGAGGATGTGGCAGGACCTCCAGTGTGTCGACCATATATTCCAGACTGAGTAGATGTCATAGTCTGGCTTGAACTAGTCTGCGAAATAGTTACTGCATCTCTGGCATAAACTCCATAAGCTGCAATAGTTGTGGCAGCCACTGCGGGGGTTATTCCATTCTTTCCTGCTTGGGTTTTGATCCTATCTTTGTGTCCATCTTTTGCAGAAAAGTGCTGTGTTACTCGAACATCTGGGATTCGTCCTCCACTTTCAGCAAAGGAGACAGGAGCTGAAATCTGGGTTGGGCTGGTGCCTGGGGTCAATAGAGCATTGCTCTGCTCAAGCAGCTTAGCAAAGGCTGAGCCTGTGTCTAGGAGTTGTTTGTCTGGGTAGGAGCTCTCAATTTCAGTCTCTACTTGCTCATCAGTGGCCTGCTGCATCTTGGTGATATTCTGCGATGTTTGCCGGATCTCCTCATAAATATCTGTTTCTGTCTCTGCTGCTTCATTGTCATATCCTGTTTGTTCTTGTTCATATTCATACTCATCATCAAAACCTTGTCCATTTATATCCTCCTCATAGTACTGCCCATGCCGACCATGTTGTTGCTGCTGTTGCTGTTGTTGTTTCTGTTGTTTTTGAAGCATCTCTGCCTTTCTCATCATCTCCTCATAAACTTCTTCAGCACTCTTTAGTGGTTTGGAAGTTGAGGATGGTGCCATGGTAGTTGTTGTTGATGATGATTTCTCTATTGGTGAGTAGAGAGACATAAAGGTGGGGAGGTTGTACTCACTGCCTGATTTGTAAAGTTTGGACTCATATCCTTCAGCCTCTGAGTCCAAACTCTGAGGGGAATACTCAGAAGCAGAGGAGCGATGGAGCTCCTCCATTTCTGCAGCTTGTCTCAGTTCTTCTGTTGGAGAAGCATCTTCAATGGGTGAGAGATTGCTAGGTGGTGTCTTGGACCTCTCTCTGCGCCTCTGAGCCCTCAGCTCCTCCTTATCCCTCTTGGTCTTTCGTGCTGTGCTCCTTATTCTCTGTTGTTCTACCTCCCTCATCTTCTCCTGCTCTCTAAGAAGTTCTTCCTCCTCTCTCAGTTCATCCTCTTCTGAAGAATCTTCAATAGTGGGAAGGAGAGGGCCATGGGAGCGGTGGCGTGCTTTCCTTTGCTGCTTAGCCTCTTCTAGTCTTTGTCTCCGACTGGGGCTACTGTCACTGTCCTCCTCCATTGATGAGATGGAAGTAGGAGACTGGCCAGAGCCATATGAGGATGAAGTGGGTGGCAGGGTGGATGAGTAGTCACCACGAGAACGCTCTTCAGGAGATCCAGTAAGGCTCTCCATCTCTAGCTCTGGTTCCCGATCAAGACTCAGATCATTTTCACTGCTCAGGTCCATGTCTCTGCTGTAGCTATTGGTGTTATTGAGTTCAATGGTTTTAAAGCGCCTTAGGCCTCCTTGTGATGCCATCACATCTTCCTCACCCTCCTCCACTGAGCCTTTATAAACATCAGTAGAGCTCTTAGTTTCTTCCTCAAAACTGCTGGAGTGGTGCTGAAGGCGTCTCTTCTCTTTCCCTGAGTCAGAGATGATGTGCTTGTGGTGGCCTTTCTTGGGTTTCTGGTAGCCATATCCTTCATCCTCCTCATCCTCCTCTTCCTCCATCTCTTCCTCTTCCTCATTTTCTTCATCAGCACTCATCTCCATTATTTGTCTCCGCATGAACTCCTCATCAGTCATTTCTGTGGGTTCAGCCTCTTTTTCCTTCTTTTTCTTCTCCCTCTTCTCCTCCTTTCCTTCCTTCCGTTTACTCTCCCAGTCTCCTCCATCTTCTTCTTCCTCCATTATGTCCTTTAACTCCTCGTCAGAGTCATATGCATCTGGTGGGATCGACAGGGAGCGTGGGCGCTGCTTTCCTCTGTCATCCAAATCTCTGTCTCTGTGCTTTCTTCCCCTTCTGTCTGCCTTCTCTTCAGAGAGACTCTTCTCCAGCAATGGCCTCATGGAACTCTCTAGCTTGGTAATTTCAGAGGGACTTGGCGGTGAGCCCCGCACACTGATTCCCCTTTCGCTGAGCTTCATCTCCTCTTCTTGGATTAGACCTGTAATTTCACTGTGGGAGCTGGAGATGCCATCAGAGGAGTAGCCAGTGTCACTGAGGCTCTGGGGGCTGCGTGACAAGTCCTGGGTACTGTTGCTTTTTGTATCCTAAAGAGAGAAGAAGCAACAGAAAAAAAACATCAGCTTTAGGGAAGATATGGTCAGTTTATGCAAAATGTGAGAATGTGTTGAATAAACTGCTGAACAAGTACATTAGTGTGCATACAGTTTAAGCCCACATATACTGTATTTGGATCCTTGGAAACCATTTTTCTTTAATGCATTTGTTCAAAAAAAATTTACTTTAAAAATTACGTAGGAAAAAGAGTATCAGTGATATATCTCATTATCACTTGTGCCATAAAAAAATTAAAACTGAAGATAAGCTTTAGCAATGACAGCAAAGGTTTTGTTGAAAAATCTAAAGAACTACAGTGAATATTGTTGAAGCAAGAGGTTAATGCATATTTGATAATCAAATTGTTTTTTAATGGCACATGATTAATGTGAATTATTCATTATTTTTGGAACATCTGCTCCCAGGTGCTATGAATATACTTCATTTTAAACAAGAACACATTCAAATTGGCCTCTTTTTTTAAGATGTGGAGGTCAATAAAAACAATTCTTGCTATATTATTTGAAAATCTCTCTTTAGGGAATTCTACCAAGATATTAACTTGACTACCGAGCAGTAACATCTGATTTGAATCATATGAACCCTAAATTCCCATCAAAGAAATTACTCATAATTTAAGTTATAAGTTTTTCCATCTGTTATTCATGAGCTCATTGGATATGTGGGCCAAAACTGAATGTTTAGTAGTTAAACTGAACAAAGACAAAGTGACAACACTGAATTCACAGAGTACACAATAAATGTGAGTTACAGAGAATAAAGACTGAACAATTAGATATATTGCACAAAATTACAAAATGCAGAGTCGCCCTTCCTATTTCCAAAACTGAATAAATAGTATTATATATCCTTTATCATGACTAGCAGCTACGTCTGCCCCTTGAACAAAGCCATAAATACATACTTTGATTTAATTACAATGTAGTTATGGAGAAGTTATGTCAAGTTAAGGCAAGTTATAGAGAAAAGATTAAGTACTAGGCAATTATAAAAGATTCAAAGTATGGTTTTCTTTATTCGATTATTAAAGTAAATCTTAAAAAATAAAATAAATGGCACCATGATGACAAATTATATAATTAAACATTAATCAAAGCTACATAGCTTAGCAGAAATAGGCTTTTATTTTCCACAGTTTTTGAGCCATTGATGGAAAGAGGTTGTTAAAATTTGTTTTTTTAATATGGATTGAAAATAAGATTTTTTAAAGATGAGCCCAAAGTAAATTCATGGAATTAGTATGACTGGAAAAACTACACAAAACTCATTCATCAATGGCTCAATCTTGGATGTTGGTTGATAACATGCCAAATCATAAACTCAAAGGGACTAACCTGGTAAGGAAAGGGGTAGGAGGAAAAATACAAAATATATAGGAATTATGTAAATGTTTTCTAGAAACTCTATGACGGCTACAATACTTGAGATGAGACTTTTTTTTGAGCTCTCTGTACTAAAAATTCCAAGCAGCCCCCGAAAGGAGGTCTGCGTAGCCTTCGAAAAGGTCTGCAGCAGTATTACTTCAGCTGAGGGCTCAGTGGTTTGCATATTCATGGCATGCCGATCATATTTCACCAGGCGTAACTAAGAGAAGGCACTATTCCACTGATTCTCCCTCTGTGTTTGTTTCTTTCTCTCTTTCACCCCAAGGTAATCCATGAATGCCTTGCTGCCACTTTCAGTCTCAGCATTCTGTAAGGAAGGAATCAATGACCTGCTTTCCAAACAGCCATGGACAACAGTGCTAAAGGAGAAAGTAAGTGGTTCAGCTTTAAATTCTAAATAATCAGGCATCATCTCAGTGTGTTATGTAAAGTGCCCAGTGATTTGTATATAGAATTTAGTTTCAACTTGATGAAGTAAAGTAAATCATGGGCTTTAGGAAGACAGGAGGAAATCTAATGACCCAACTGGTCACAACACAAACCCAAACAAAATTACCCACTTTGGTACTGGAAAATGCTTATAGCTGAGATGTCCAGTATCTTCCAACTTAAGGAGGTACTGTAAAAAACAAAAGCTGTAGAGCCTCTTTGCAATATCTTAACAGCCCACCGCCTTCTGGTAGGATAATAAAAGCAGAGTTTTGATCTTTTAACCTTTTAATACCTGAAACCGCCCATAGTCAGTTAGTCTATAGATCTCTGGGTTATAGGCCCTGCATTCTTCCGCTGCACTACTCTGCTGTCAGAGTCGAGCCAACAAACCCTTGTTTAAGAGGCCAGTGGCTTATTCATTGGCCATGGCACTATGGAGCAACATGTACACAAACAACTCGATCTGCTTATGTTTCGAGATGTTCTGCCTCTAATCCAAAAGGCTTTTTCAGTTCTAACTGGGAGGTTTCAGGTATTCTACCTCTTTATGTGGAGAATCGTTGGGTTAAACAGGCTCGCTGATCATTTTTTCCCCTGAGTCAAGGTCTGAATGGCTGTTATCACCTGTAAGCATTGGAATGACCCTGCTATTATATGAGTCTTTAGGGTCACAGGAGTTGGGGTGTGATTGGGTATTGAGGTGTCTGGGTAGAGAATTTAGGATTGAATTGTAGGTAGATGACTGACAGAGGTGAAAAGCTTGAAACCTCCAATAGTCAGTTAGAACTAAAGAGGCCTTTTGGGTTGCAGACGAAAAAAGTCTTCAAGAAACACAACCAAGTCCATTTTCCTATGTACGGTTGTTGGGCTGCAGACGAAAAGTCTGCCAACTACGTACAGTTGTTCAACTGGATACCACGATCTGGATAACTGAGAATCTTTACAAATATTAATAGGTATTTTACAGTAGCCAGTGCATTACATCTGTTATCAGAGTTGACAGTTATGACATCAGCTTGTTCTTTCCTCCACTTTTGCAAATGCCTGTGGATTTAAATAATTCAGTCAACATGGGTAATTGGGAGAAATCATGTAACAGATGACCCTGTATGTGTTTCATGTTGAGGTACTGAATTAAGCTGCTGTAGTTTCTGTTTACAGACAATAACCTCCTCTTAAAAGTTGGACAGCAGAGGATAGTGTCAATCTATCAACCTGTGGGTTATGGGACCCCCACTTCTGCTGTCAGACACCCCAGATGGGACTTGAACCCACAATCCCTGGCTTAGGAGGCCAGTGCCTTATCCATTAGGCCACTGGGGCACTTTTTGCTTCCTTTGTTTCACACAATTTTGCTGAAAACACGGCACTATGGAGCAACATGTACACAAGCAACTCAACCCTGCTATTATGTTAGCCTTTGGGGTCACAGGGGGGTGTGGTGGGTATTGAGGTGTCTGGGTAGAGAACTCAGGACTGAATTGTAAGTAGATGACTGACAGAGGTGAAAAGCTTGAAACCTCCCATAGTCAGTTAGAACTAAAGAGGCCTTTTAGGGTTGTGAATATAGAGTCTTCAAGAAACACAACCAAGTCCAGTTTCCTATGTACAGTTGTTGGGTTGCTGTGGATTAAATTGACTAATTGGGAAATGTCATGTATCAGATGACTGTATGTGTCATGAATGTGTTCCATGCTGTTCATTATCTACCAACTTAAGGAGGTACTGTATTAAGCTGTACAATAATCTCCTATTAAAAGTGGGATAGCAGAGGATCCGTTCAGTCTATCGAGCTCTGGGTTATCAGCCCAGCACCCTTCCACTGCGCCACTCTGCCGTCAAACACCCCAGATGGGACTCGAACCCACAATCCCTGGCTTAGGAGGCCAGTGCCTTATCCATTAGGCCACTGGGGCACTTTTTGCTCCATTTGTTTCACACAATTTCCGTGAAAACACGGCACTATGGAGCAACATGTACACAAGCAACTCAACCCTGCTATAATGTGAGTCTTTAGGGTCACAGGAGTTGGGGGGGTGTGGTTGGGTATTGAGGTGTCTGGGCAGAGAACTCAGGACTGAATTGTAAGTAGAGGACTGACAGAATGAAAAGCTTGAAACCTCCCACAAGCCTTTTGGGTTGCAGACAAAAAGTCTTCAAGAAACACAAGCGAATCCAGTTTCCTATGTACAGTGGTTCAACCAAAAGAGATTTAATATATGAATGTGAATGAACACAGAAATTACATTCTTTACCAAAAAAGGGAAATTCAGAAAAAATATTTAATTGTTAAAAGAATGATTTTGTTGAATTTACTCCTTGTTTTTTGTCTTTAGAAAAATAGCATTAATACTGGGATTATCTGTGAGAAAAAACAAAACAAATATGTAATATACGCTGTAATCACAATTGCATGACCACAATTGTTCATTTGTCTTTTAACATTGTATAAACACAACTTTCAAATCCTTGAAAATAACATCGATGTGATTGAATTTGACAATAGCTGGTTGATCAGCTTCTCAAGGGTCAGACAACACAAACCCAAACAAAATTACCCAACGTCTGTTGGGTTGCAGACGAAAAGTCTGTGAACTATTCACAATTGTTAAAGTGCAGTAGATACCACTGAAGATCTTCACAGATAGTGCATTACATCTATTAGCAGAGTTGACAGTGATGACATCAGCCTTCTCTCTGTTGTTGTCTTTCCACCACTTTTGCAAATGCTGTGGATTAAATTGACTAATTGGGAAATGTCATGTATCAGATGACTGTATGTGTCATGTATGTGTTCCATGCTGTTCATTATCTACCAACTTAAGGAGGTACTGTATTAAGCTGTACAATAATTTCCTATTAAAAGTAGGGTAGCAGATGATTGGTTCAGTCTATCAAGCTCTGGGTTCTGAGCCCAGCACTCTTCAGCTGTGCCACTCTGCTGTCAGACAGCCCAGATGGGACTCGAACCCACAATCCCTGGCTTAGGAGGCCAGTGCCTTATCCATTAGGCCACTGGGGCACTTTTTGCTTCCTTTGTTTCACACAATTTCCGTGAAAACACGGCACTATGGAGCAACATGTACACAAACAACTCAACCATGCTATTATGTGAGTCTCCCATAGTCAGTTAGAACTAAAGAGGCCTTTTGGGTTGCAGATGAAAAAAGTCTTCAAGAAACACAACCTAGATCAGTTTCCTATGTACGGTTGTTGGGCTGCAGACGAAAAGTCTGTCAACTATGTACAGTTGTTAAACTGCAGTAGACACAACTGAAGATCTTAACAGATATTGATAGGTATTATACAGTAGCCAGTGCATTACATCTATACTCAGCAAAAAAAGAAACGTCCTCTGACTTTCAACTGTTTTTACTTTCAGTAAACTTAATGTGTGTAAATATTTGTATGAACACTAAAAGACTCAACACCTTAAGACATAAACTAAAAATGTTTCACAGACATGTGACTAACAGAAATAGAATAATGTGTCCCTGAATGAAGGGAGGCTCAAAATCAAAAGTACCAGTCAGTATCTGGTGTGGCCACCAGCTGCTTGAAGTACTGCAGTGCATCTCCTCCTCATGGACTGGACAAGATTTGTCAGTTCTTGCTGTGAGATGTTACCCCACTCTTCCACCAAGGCACTTGCAAGTTCCTGGACATTTCTGGGGGGAATGGCCCTAGCCCTCACCCTGCAATCCAACAGGTCCCAGACGTGCTCAATGGGATTGAGATCTGGGTTCTTCGCTGGCCATGGCAGAACACTGACATTGCTGTCATGCAGAAACTCACGCACAGAACGAGCAGTATGGCTGGTGGCATTGTCCTGCTGGAGGATCATGTCCGGATGAGCATGCATAAAGGGTACCACATGAGGGAGGAGGATGTCTTCCCTGTACCGCAAGGCATTGAGATTGCCTGCAATGACAACAAGCTCAGTCCGATGGTGATGTGATATACCGCCCCGGACCATGACGGACCCCCCACCTCCAAATTGATCCCGCTCCAGGTTACAGGCCTCGGTGTAACGCTCATTCCTTCGACAATAAACACGAATCCGTCCATCACCCCTGGTGAGACAAAACTGTGACTCATCAGTGAAGAGCAATTTTTTGCCACTCCTGTCTGGTCCAGCTAAGGTGGGTTTGTGCCCATAGGCGGTGTTGTTGCTGGTGATGTCTGGTAAGGACCTGCCTTACAACAGGCCTACAAGCCCTCAGTCCAGCCTCTCTCAGCCTATTGCGGACAGTCTGAGCACTGATGGAGGGATTGTGTGTTCCTGGTGTGACTCGTGCAGTTGTTGTGGCCATCCTGTACCTGTCACGCAGGTGTGATATTCGGATGTACCGATCCTGTGCAGGTGTTGTTACACGTGGTCTTCCACTGCGAGGATGATCAGCTGTCCTTCCTGTCTCCCTGTAGCGCTGTCTTAGACGTCTCACAGTGCGGACATGGCAATTTATTGCCCTGGCCAKATCAGCAGTCCTCATGCCTCCCTGCAGCATGCCTAATGCACGTTCACGCAGATGAGCAGGGACCCTGGGCATCTTTCCCTGGGTGTTTTTCACAGTCGGTAGACAAGTCTCTTTAGTGTCCTGCGTTTTTAGAACTGTGACCTTAAATCCCTACTCTCTGTAAGCTGTTAAGGTCTTAACGACCATTCCACAGGTGCATGTTAATTAATTGATTATGGTTAATTGAACATGCATGGAAAACATTGTTTGAACCCTTTACAATGAAGATCTGTAAAGTTATTTGGGTTTTTACAACATTATTGTTGAAATACACAGTCCTGAAAAAGGGATGTTTCTTTTTTTGCTGAGTTTATTAGCAGAGTTGACATCAGCTTGTTCTTTCCTCCACTTTTGAAAATGCCTGTGGATTTAACTAACTCAGTCAACATAGGTAATTGGGAGAAAACATGTATCAGAAGATGCTGTATGTGTTCCATGTTGTTCATTGTCTACCAACTTAAGGAGGTACTGAATTAAGCTGCTGTAGCTTCTGCTTATAGACAATAACCTCCTATCAAAAGTTGGACAGCAGAGGATAGTTTCAATCTATCAACCTGTGGGTTATAGGACCCCCCCTTCTGCTGACAGACACCCCAGATGGGACTTGAACCCACAATCCCTGGCTTAGGAGGCCAGTGCCTTATCCATTAGGCCACTGGGGCACTTTTTGCTTCCTTTGTTTCACACAATTTGTACACAAGCAACTCAACCCTGCTATTATGTTAGCCTTTGGGGTCACAGGAGTTGGGGGGGTGTGGTTGGGTATTGAGGTGTCTGGGGGAAGAGAACTCAGGACTGAATTGTAAGTAGATGACTGACAGAGGTGGCTTGAAACCTCCCATAGGCCTTTTGGGTTGCAGACGAAAAGTCTTCAATCTTTACAGATATTGATAGTGTAGTGAATGTCACTGTGTATGGGGAGAGGGGACGAGAGGAGAGCGAGTGATTGCACCTCAGATGAGGGTAAGTGATTGCACCTGTGGTTGGAGGAGGTTTCAGAGAGCAAGTTGAAAAGAGCACAGTGAGTGGACACGCAGCTTTGGTGGAGAGCAGAGCTCAGTGAACGCTGCAGGGCTGAACCCTAACCGAGTAAGCGGTCGTGTGGCATGCTTTATCTGAGGGCAGGTGCAGTTTGCATGCTGTTTAGGACTGCCAGCGGTAAAGATAGACAGCAGGTTGTAGGGTGAGGTTCTGGCGTCAGGTAGAGGTGAGACAGAGGTAGTGGGGAAAGTTGGAGTGCTTTTGTCAACTCTCCAGCCGGTAGGAAGAGGCTCTCCTGCAGCACAATTGGAGATGCTTTGCTGCACTGGACCAGCGGTGTTCCCCACAACAGACTTTGACTGAAGCCGGACCAGCGCCAAAGCTCAGACCCCGGAGGAGGGTCTCAAACCCCGGGAGAGTTAAGTGGTTTTAATCGACTCATTCTTTTGGAAATAATGTGTGTCACATCTTGTGTGTAACATTACATGTTATTGATTTTAAGAGCCTGCTTAAAGCCTAGTACTGGGGCTGGGGAAAACAAGCTGAGGGACCTTGATTAGATCCTCAGGTACTGTTGCATGTGCCCGGATAGCACTAGTGCATTGTTTATTGTGGTGCAATATTGTGTGTTGTGCGCTGAGGGGGTGTAGTTTCTGTGTGAGTTGCATTGCTGTATTAAGTTGCCGCGTCTTAACAGTGTGTAACTCTCTTGTGGTGTGAATTAGATTGGCAGGGCCCTTACACTAGTTTTCTGCCCATGCAGAGGCACTGCAGGGGAGGGAGTATGGGACTCAGACTGTGATCGATTGTCCCTGTGTTCAAAGCTTTGGCTGTATGAATTACATAATAAAGTTATCATTTTCTATTACTCCAGGTTTTTTCCTCCTTACATTGTGTGTGCAGTAAATTAACAAGGTGTATTTCAATAGGTATTTCACAGTAGCCAGTGCATTACATCTGTTAGCAGAGTTGACAGTTACTAGCAGTTCAACATGAAAAGCCATGACATCATCCTGCTCTCTGTTGTCTTTTTTCCACTAGTTTTGCAAATAACTAACTCAGTCAATATGGGTAACTGGGAAATTTCATGTATCAGATGACGCTGTATGTCTACCAACTTAAGGAGGTACTATATTAAGCAGCTTTAGTTAGTCTTTGTGAAACATCTACAGACAATAATGTCCTATTAAAAGTGGGATAGCAGAGGATAGTTTCACTCTATCGAACTCTGGTATCTGGGCCCAGTGCGATCTCGCTGCACTCTGCTGTCAGACACCCCAGATGGGACTTGAACCCACAATCCCTGGCTTAGGAGGCCAGTGCCTTATCCATTAGGCCACTGGGGCACTTTTTGCTGTATTTGTTTCACACAATTTCCCTGAAAACACGGCACTATGGAGCAACATGTACACAAACAACTCAACCATGCTATTATGTGAGTCTGTAGGATCAGAGGAGTTGGGATGTGGTTAGGTATTGAGGATTTCTGTATATTGTCACACATTAGGCTACACCTATTGTCTTCCAGCTGTGTAATTATTTGGGCCCGATGATCAAGTAATCGGATCCCTGATTAAATCTGGCTAGTTAGGCTAGTTTAATTAGCTCAGGAAGAAGGATGTTAACCCTGAGATTGCAGAGCCCCTGGGCACATTCAAGTCAGCAGGGTGGGGGAATTAACAAGTTGCATTAAAAAAAAAATAAAAAAAAATAAAAGAGGAATCAATTGAACCATGGACTGGGAAATGTATTACACCCTACCTGTTTGATTGCCCTGATGTCAAGATTACAGTTTTGGCTTAAACTCATCTAAGTGATGGAAAAACTGCATGAATGTGAAGCAGAGCCATGTGGAAACAGCTATGCATAGTCACGCAACCTGGATAGATTCTGTCAAAGTAAAATATTCACACAACAATAGCAATGTTTCGTCCATAAGCCTGACTGTGACACTATGGTTTAGAGGTAGTAAAAATGTTGCACCTCTTAAATTGTGCCTCTAAGTGTTTCCTTTAAAGTTTCCTTATAGCAGGCAACCACTCCACACTGACACATAACCTTAAGACAAGTTAAATTTCTCAAAAAAATCCACTAACATATAAAAGTGGGTTTAAAAGTGATCACAACCACTTGCTGATTATTTAAAATGGCTTCGCATACAATAAACAATCCTGAGAGAAACAATAGGACATTATTATTGGGCAAGAGCTTACTCTGATACCAATATAGTGCATGAAGGGTGAGAAGTCTCCCTACCCTTTGCCCTTCTTGAATGTTCCTACTGTTTACGTAAAGGGGAGTAGTGTCACTGTCATGGTTTTACTAATTTAGGGCTGGCAGTGGATGAAATTTGGGCACACTGTTCACAAGAATGGCTCTTAGACAAGTAAGACTAGGCTCCCTTTGTTCAAAGAGCAGTTGAAAAAAATCTGAACAGCCGTCACAACATTAGTGCCTCGGTTAGTACATTATTTGTTTGGTTCACCTTTCACAAGTGACACTGGTCAAACCATTTTATCATTAGCATCACCTTTTGGTTTCTCACGATAGTTCAACATACAAACACTGGACTAATGTTATTTAAAAATCTGACTTACATCATAATGCCTGGACTTCTTTATTTCCTTGATTGGTGTCATCTGCTCTCCTTTCTTCTGGGAGGTTTTGTTCTCTTTGAGAGTTTGGTTCTCAGACTCTGACTTGGGCTTTGTCTCTGTGGCTTTAGGTTGTTGCTGGGTGTCCTTCGTTGGTACCGGTGCCACAGCTGGCATCGTGGTCTTGGTGTCGGTCGGTTGTTTGGCGGCAGTGGGTGCGAACGGTCCGCCAATGCTAGTTCCCGTCTGCGATTTCTGGGCCTGGCCTGTCTTGAGCCCCTGCTGATTGATAGGTTTGTGGAGTGGGCTCTGCTGGCTGGCTGGCACCTGGTGACGGGGCGAGCCCATTGGCTGGTGCTTTGGAGACGGATGAGAAACGGGTAGGGGAGGATCGTCAAGACTGCCTCCAGACATCAGCCGCTGGGTCTGACAGTTGAGACATAACCACTCCTTTTTCTGAAACAGAGTGAGAACAAAAAACAGTAGTTAATGACAATCACCCCATGGTAATACTTTGTTATTAAATCATAACTATAATATGGTCAATAAAAGTTATTTGACGTCACAAGACCTGATTTTATTAAAGGTGCTATCAGATTGAGCTTTGGAATGTAATACTGATTGGTTTATAAAAAGCCTTTTTAAAAACTCTATGTTATTACTGCGCGTGTGTGTGTGCGTGTGCGTGTGCGTGTGTGTGTGTGTGTGTGTGTGTGTGTGTGTGTGTGCGCAAAAAGGCATTTCATCCTCTCTGCTGTTCAACTTCTCTTCCGGGGTCACACTATGAATGATGTGTTCAGTTCAACTTCTCGGGTTAAATAAGATTGACCCTTTAACACAATTTCAAATTCTTAACATTAATTGTGTCAATTCCAATTACAGAGCTAAAGAGACAAACACACACATGCTGCATACACCCAGCAAATCTTATTTCCAGACATGGCAGAAACATTATGAAGTTGGCTTACGCACACTTCTAAATGGCCATGTCACTCTGAAGGCTGCAAGTCCTGCACGCTATTTTCATCACATCAACTCAACTCACACTGTGAGGCAGATTACAAAAACTGCACACACACATAAAATATCCTGCCACACACTATGCACAAGCATAGTATTGACTCATCACTTTTTTTTTTATGTTTTTGATTGTGAACTCTCAGCAAATAGTTGCTTATTCATAGTTTTCATATATTCAATCTCTTACCAATCCCTACCATTTCTCTGGATGCCTACTGAAGGCTGTATATAAAGATGGATCACATGACATCTCCCGAAAAGCCAAAGCCTCTTAGTTAATGTTGGGGTGTCTGCAGTATAGACTCTGAATCATGACTCATCCATGTTTGTGGATGGGACATGCACCAAACTAAAAAGTCAAAGTACTCACCAGATACATTTTTCTGGTAATTTTGGTATTAATTATCTATTTAATGCTATATAAACTTTAGTTGACACCAGTTGAGAATGGCTCTCGATTTGTTGAGCATGTGCATCAGCAGGACTTTGCAACCTGGGCTCCTCCCCCAATCACTATACTATGCAGACTCTGGCTCCAAATACGCAGGATGGCGGGCTATATATTTTAGCTTAATTTCTGGATAGATAGAAGTTTAGCTGGTTGTCAATCTTTCCACAGTCTTTGGGGCGGAGCATGAAAGTTGATGCAGTAGAGGGTTATACATTTACATTTACTTATATTCATGCTTAATTCTAAGAATCCATTGAGAATCAACTGCTACTTTGTTTATCCAATTTACATAATTTTAAAGGTTCTTTCTCCCTCCAGTATCTCCTCACCACATGTTTATTATTTCTGTCTCTACCAGGGCAGTAGCTGTTGTTTGGGGCTGGAGAGCAGCTGTATAACTCATGTCATGAATTATTGATAGACGCAGCCCCTTCCTCCTCGACACTTATCTTCCATCTCTGCTCTTTTCCACCCACTCATTGAATCCTTTCTGTTTTCTCTCTTTGCAACAAACTCAGCAAGCCTCTTCCTTACACTATTTCTCATTTTGTCTTTTTCTCTTTTTTTATCTCTCCTCACTTTATCTCGCTCCAGCTTTCTCTTTATCAGAATCCCTTTTGAGAGTTTATCTCTGATTAGGTGCCAAACAAAAGACTCCATCTCCCTCCATCCCATCGACTAATGTAAGTGACTAATGCTTTTCAGGTTCGAGTAGTGGACACTACTGTAGTGTTAATTACAGACCACAAAGTTTAAAACCATGACAACCTTTGATACATTGAGTTATTAGTAGGTCAACAAAAACAGAAGAAGATAAAAAAAAAATTGAAAACTAGCAAAGCCCTAAATTTTATTTTCTCACGCCAAAAAAAAACATCCATCACTCAGTATTACAGTCGATCTACAGATGATCTCTCATTGTCTTTTTACTGCCAGCAAAGGTTAGACAGATATTTGGCAGAAACTGTTGCTAGTTTGTTTGTTTGTTCTGCTAAAGCCTTGATCATGTGTCCAGCAGCTCCAAAAAGCTCAACCTCGCTGAGCTTTTGATTTTGTTGTCACAAATCTGGTAGGCAACAGCAAAACGCATAGAGCCAAAAGAAGTTGAGCAGAGACAATGGATCTATCTGGCTCTCCTAACCCAGCTCTCCCTGAGGATCACAATTTAGTCATCTTGAGTTGCTCTGAAAATGTGAACAATCTCAGGGCCATTTTTCTGCTACTCTCTTTAAAGCAATTGTCAAACCCACACATTCTTCAAAATGTCTTTCTTCCACTGAAAAGATTCCAGCATCCAAAATGCAGAGGAGCATTTTCAAAAGTGGAAGAAATGAATAGTGCAAGTGTCAAAACACTTAAGCAATCGGAGAACCCGACCAGACTTCATCAGGCTGTGTTCAGCTGTCTGAGCATGAAGGGTATGAGAGAAAAAGAAGCTGAAACCAGTAAGTGAATAACTCAGAGAGCAACTATTAGTATTAACTGACTGATTTTTCAAAAAGTGAAAAAGACACACATTAAAGTGTGTTTGTGTGTGTGTGAGCAGCCAACTGTACAGTAGTGTCTGAGACTGTTGAATCAGTTTTAGACCCTAAAGTCAGACATATCACATAACGTGTGTGTGTGTGTGTGTGTGTTGTCTTGCAGAGTGCTCCATCGCTGCACCACTTAACCTACATAGCACCAACAATCTGAGCCTTTCTCCTCCTGTCAATAACGCTCACTAAAATGCTCCATCAGTACTAACTCTCTTTGAGAAGCGCTGCTGTTTTCTTTTCTTCCGCGGCTGTGACTCTGAAGCATGTTATGCCTTCAGACTCTCTCCCCTTTCTCCTCTTTCTTTCTAAAAGTCCTTTTGAAATCTGTTGGGGGATTGTATTTTGGTCACCGTCCTGCCCCCTGTATTTCCTTTACATTTCCTACCTTCTCCCTTTTTACAGGCTTCCTTTCTTTTCTGTTCAATAAAAGGAAAAGTAATGGATCTGTCTTTAATTCATACGGATCTACTGCGCATCATATCTCTTCTAGTACTGGATTGGATTCCTGACAGAAGTATAGAAATAACTCATCTCTGTGCTCAACCCCCATGTTACCCCTCAGCCGCAGGGAGGCCTCACTATTACTCATCAATGAGTGTTATGTACTTGTCACAAATTGGCCCAGAGGAAAAATGCATCGTCTTAAGGGGATTTGGTGTTGCCTTCTTTCCCTTTATCTGATGCATAACGGAAAAACATGGTTTTATTGCAGTTTGTGTATTTTACACGCAATTGTACACAAACTTGCCATATTTATTCATTCATGAATATTTATTTCAGAAAAATATTCTCATTAATGTAATTTTTTCATTAATTATTAACATACTTAACATAATCAAATACTATTGTGTAAATACTGCCTCCCTTCATTGAAGATATGGAGTAGAATACTTCTCTTCTCGGTTTCATTCTCATCCATTTTCTTTACTTTTCACACATTAGCTCCTGCAGTTCCTCTCTCTTTTATCTCTTCAGTACATGATCGCTAAACATCTTCCCTTTCCTCTTAGCTCTCTTCTCTCTCTCCCTGGTCCGTCTCCTTTTCTCTCCCCCCAACAGAGAGAGGGCTATTTTTACCCAGAGTGCCATTGTTCTGCTCGAGCGCACCCTTCCCTGGCACTGGCTGCTGCTTCAGGCTGCACTCTACTGCAGTGCACACATACACTCATACTTACAGACACACACACACACGTAGACACACGGTTCACATCAATGCAAAATGGAGGAGGCCTGTGCAGCTTAAGGCAAACCAGAATAAAATGACATGCAGATGGAGAAAGAATAAGAAGAGGAGAAAGTGAGTGACACCAACCATGCACAAGTGCATGCACATGCACAGCAATTCAACTTAGCCCCTAGTTATAAGAGAGAGAGAGAGTGGAATAAGGAGGAAATGTGGGGAGAGGTGGCAGCCGTTTGAAGTGGACAACAAAGAGACGACAATGATGATGGTGGTGGTGAAAGCACCAGAGATTGATTTAGTTGTTGATTACGATTTTAACACATGACAGACGCAAAAAAAAAGTGAGAAATATTTGTGGTGATAACAGCCGACGCTGTTTATCGATGTCCTGGAAACAAAATCACGTGATCTCCTCAGCAGAATTCATACATCACGTCCTGCCTCTGCCTACTGCATTATGATGGCGATCATCCGCAATCACAGACTGACAGTGAACTTTATATGAACATTTCCTGCAGCAATACAGCAGCAACCCCTGGCCAAACATTGATGCCAATAAGGGCACAGACAGTTTATGATTGATGGTTGATTAGACCTATCAATTCACTCTAAACGTAGCTGCAGCATCTGCTGAGCTGTGCACATTCTCTGAGATATAGCCAACAGTCAAAGTACAGGAGGACACACACATGAAAGTATGTGTAATGTTAACTGGTGTTTCCTACACAGCAGCAACTGTCTCCTGTAACAGCGTGTAATAAAACACAAAGGAATAACTTCCAAAACTTCACCCCTTTTGTCTTTCAATTACAATTCAATTACTATAAAACTTTTCAATTTTTTTGTATATTCTATTATTCATTTGAACATGTCAGAACAATCTTCTGCCCTCCTTCGATGGATACCTCCTGATTCCCTGACTGTCTAATTATTTAACACTCTTGAACCCAGTGACACCATGTCTGTTCTGAGGCAGGTTTCACCACTCGCTGCACAGCTTACATCAGTATGTGACGAGTCACACTTTTATGTGACAACAAAGAACATATTTCACTGGAGCCCTCCCACATCAACACGTCCTCCTCCTCCTATTTTCAGAACAACTTACTCTTGTTCTATATCTCCATCTTAATCCCTGCCTCCAGAGATCTGTCTCCTCTGAACAGTTTTATTTCTTCTCTTTACTTTAGTCCACTGAGAAATGTTTAGATTTTTCTTTGATTACTTTCTTCTTCCTCTTTCACCTTTCCTTAAAAAACTCATC